CGTGAATAATCAGAAGTTCGACAAACTTCGAACTTTTAGGGTAAAAGTTCGACGTTCGTCGAATTTCGGAAGACCGGTGGATGGTTTCATTTCAATTCAAGTAGTGAGGTACATTCGTAATTTTTTTTTTTCTCAAACTTTTACATGCGGTGCTGCGTTCCTTACGAAAGGCAATGCCGTTTATTTCAATGTTCTGGCGTGCTTAGCTTTAAAGAAATAAATTCCCGAAGGGGCGAGGAAGGACGACGGGTTTATGACGATTATCGTTTGTGCCAGATTTGAAGCATGCTGTAGCCAAAGCTATTTATGGTAGAGATGTTAAACTTTTTAAGAATGGTCTATGTATAGCCTAGGTAAGTGCCGTCTTGAGATGTGATTATTGTTTTTCAAGGTGAGTTTCTAAGAAGTGTCCAAACATGTATCTACATGCAATTATGCCCTAAACTTGGTATTTATTTTCGTCTAAGTTGTTTGAGGTATTGCATTTAAATTAACACCACAGACAGTACATATCATTGCCATCTGCGAAATACAAGATAATGTATTTATTGTTTTTTCACGTTAAGGAATAAATTAACTCATGGGAGGAGATTTCTAATATTGTTAAAGTTCAGCACGTCATTCAAAGAAAACTTTTTTTTTTTTTTTCGCTTCACGTTTCTGGGACGTGTTTCTTTTAGCCTGTACACATTTTGGTAGGAGAAACTTGTTTTGAAGTTCTGAACTTCTGAATATGCAAGAATACAACACTTCCGGCGAATTCTCGATAGTTTGTTTTTCTCCAGCTTTTTATCCCTGCATTTATAATTTTTTTTTTTTTTTTACTATTGGCATGGTTATTTAGGTCGAAAAGACGTAGCTTTGAACTTCTGAACCACTAAGCATGTGACGAGTAGTGCCTTCTGACAACGAGTTTCTAACAATGACCATCTACGCGATCTTTTATGCAGTGCAGAGCGACAGTAGCTATACATATGCATAAATAATTTCAGATTAAAATAAGCTCGACCACGCCCTCTTTCCCCGTATTGTTTTCTTTAACAGTCCGAATCTTCTGGAAGGGGGGAAGGGGGGCTGAAGCCCCCCCCTCCCCTCTTCCCCCATTTTCCCTCTTCTGACGCCACTTGTATGGTAGAACGCTCCTCGACCTCGAGTTGTGTTGGCTTCTTTGCTTTTTGTGAGGCAATTCCTCCGTCCCAGAAAATAAACCTCCAGGATAATTACAAACTTAACTTACTATAGGCCAGCGTCACTCGGGCGGCGTTCGATCAGATTACTACCAGCGTGCAAGGGGTGGGGAGGTAGTTTGCCAGGTCGGTTGAAGGTTTTTCTGAGCCTCAACCTCCTGCCCACCCCTGGCCATTTCGAACGAGATGACTATCGTAAAACTTTGTGCTCGTTTGATCACTACTGCGTGATGAAGGATAAAACCCCTTCCCCCCCCCCCCCCCCTCCTCCCCATCCCCCCCCCCGGGCTGGCGGTCACAATTACTGATCTATGGACACGCGTCACTCTGCACTGGCAAATATTCCAGCACATCCGGGACACTCGTCGTCTCATTTAATTGCCTGACCAACTTCGCAGTCTAGATATGACATCCTAACTTTTCTAAACTTAAAAAACCAGTGAGTCGTGAAAACGTTATTTGAAACTGAAACTGTGAAGGAACTTGAAAGCCGGACTTCGAACTTTGAAAACTTGGACTTAAAAGAAATTTAAAATTTAAGTTTTTTGTTTTTTTCGATTTTACCGTTAAAAGAGAAACGAAACCTTCTAACTTTTCGGACTTTATGCAGAAAGAAATTCGAAATATTAGAATTGTTCGAACTTCATGTCTATAAAAATTCGAAGTTTTTGAATTTTATTTCCAAAGAATTTCGAAATCTTGGAATTTTACAAACTTCAGATCCCAAGAGATTCAAATTTTTCGAATATCTCGAATTTCAAGTTAGGAAAGTTCGAAATCTTCGATTTTATTGAACCTCAAGTAAAAAAATATTTGAACCCGAGATTTTAGAAACCGTGAAAGCTTCGAACTTTTCGAATTCGAAACTCCACTGTGATCGCAAGTTGCGAATTTTTCTAATTCGAACCTCGGTTCGCTTGGCAAATATCGAAACCTTTCAAAATCCAACCTAGGGTGGTTCGTGACATCCCAGTTGCGCCTCAACCTGTCCGCTCGAGTCAGCCGAATTCGGCAACTTGGCGAGTTGCAAAGTTTGCAGGTTCGTTTAAGAAACTTTTAGACAGAGCTACGTCGTAATATTTGATCTGTGGTTTTCCAAGGCGATACTGAAGAGAACTGCATTGTTTTTTCAAAAACAAAAAGTAAGCGGAGTTGCCCATTTTGTCGTTGGCTCAATGCATTTTGCCGCTTCCCTTCCCAACGCGTGTCACTATCTCATGGGTGGTTATCTTTCTGAACCATATTTTATTTTTTCCTCATGGTACCAGTATAGATTACCGCATTTTTGCCCGTCATCTGCGTGTGCACTGTCGGTTTCAGTGCCACGCGAGGTGTTCCCACGTCTTTATTGCAACGGAAAATGAGAATCTGCTGCATCTGCAATTCGCGAAATCCGTTCCTGTGACATGCGAATTCACTCCCACATTTTCGTCTGAGATCTGCTTGCACGATATAGGTTCCTGTGACGCGCAAGTTTGTAGCGGGTTCCCAGATGTTTATCACACTGTGAAACATGAATCTCTTGTGTTCGCGATCTGGGGTATCAGTTGCCATGAGATATGAGCTTATAGTGGATCGCTGTGTGTTTATCGATCGCACTGTGGAACGTGAATTTGATGTGTCTGCTATCTGCGGTTTCAGTCCTGTGTCACGGGGTTTGTAGCGGGTGCCAGGTGTTTATCACAAATGTTTAATCAAATTTTGCTGTCGCACTCCAAAAGATAGCCCACCTCATATTTTTCACTATTTATCTCTATATGTATATGGTGGGCGTTCTTTGGGGTTTTTAATGATAGTTTGTTACTTGAAACCCGTCTTTTATGAGATTTAATTTTGCCGCATACGTGGCAAAGTTGGCAACAGACAAAGCTACCCTGTGGAGGAATGGGGTTCGAACCCAGCTTGACCCGGTTCTTTTCTTTCATCGAGCAATATACCGTACTTGCACGAATATAACGCAACCACGAATATAATGCGAGGGCAGGTTTTGATGCCCTCAAAAAGAAAACAAAAAGTTATTACTATTATAACGCAAGCCGAGGCCGCATACATTTTCCATACTCGGGAGGGTATAGCAGAAGTGAAAAGGCAGTGGAAATGGAAGAAATCTCAGTTTATGTTTTGAGTGCACTCATCGTTACTGCTCAGATCCTTTTGTTTATAATTCACTTGGCGACTAAGCACATAAGCAGCAGCACCGGGGGGGGGGGCTTGTCTGGTAGCTCCTTTTTCTTTGGCGTCAGCTTCTCGGCAGCCCACAAGCAAAGCAAGGCATGAAACAGAAGCAGCAACGCACAAACTCCAGACCACTCTGGAGCGGGAACTAAAAAATGTGCAGATAGAAAAAAGTCTGCGGAACCCGATACACGATCGCTCTTGTTACCGGGTCCCAAGGGTCCCACCGCATAGACAAACACCTTGTGTTGCACGATTGCGTAAACACAATCGGTGGTCTTGGCTTGGCTTGTGTTGACTTGACTTAGCTTGGCTTGGCGTGAATTGGCCAGCGTCCACATTCCCACATGGCGCGCCGCATTGTACAAGCACAAAAGCGATAAAAACGCTTTTTATGTTTTCTATTCGCCCCTTCACGTGGCTTAATAGCTAATATATTCCCCCCACACCCCCACTTTTTTTCCCACCCGATCTCCTGCATTGAACACAACATTACTAAAACCCTCAGTTGGGAAACGCCCTTGAAACCTGTGCCGCTGGCGTCCACCGAGACCAAGCTAAATACGATAACAGCGCCACCGTTTAGCGAGAAGTTGAAACATGAAATCTGCTTTACATAGCTACTGCGAGATGGCTCTGCGAGATGGTGCCACCTGCTTTTGCCCGACTCGACATGCAGCCGTACAGTTCCCGGAGTGGACGCTGCGGGAGAAATGGCGGCGTTGCGATCGCCATTAGCTCAGTTCTCAAGTATGGATTGGAGCCACTTCTTTAAAGCAGGCTCTATGGCAGTTTCCCTACTGAGGGGTTCTAGTAATGTTGATTGAGCCTGTGGGATGGCTTTCTCCTCTGGCTTTCTCCAGACTCGCGGGCCTCCTGGCTGAACTTGGATTCCGAACATAACGTGAGGTGTGTTCTGGAACACGTAATTCCGAAAAAAAAAACTCGCATTATATTCGTGCAAATACGGTACGTCCGGAAGGTTTCCTGCCCATTCTTGGGCGTCATTGTGCGTTCTGGTCCAGAACATTTCCGTGTGTACTGCAACACGTAATTCCGAAAAAAAATCTCGCGTTATATTTGTGCAAATATGGTATGTGCGGAAGGTTCCAGCCCATTCTTGGCCGTCATTGTGCATTCTGGTCCAGAACATTCCCGTGTGTACTGCATGTATAAGAGGAGCAGTAGCACGCCGCTTTGGGACGGTCGTCCTTCCATCTCGGACACAGAATGCACGGTACCTTTTTTTTTAATATTTGTGGGTACAAGTTCGCCTAATTAAATGACTATTTTCAGTTTTACATTCCTCTCCTCATCTTTTTTTGCGACGTTATTTGACGCACATTGTCGCTTCGTGTGGCCGCCCGGCAGCTGCCTTTCAATTTTTTTTCGATCGGAAATCCACAGAAATGTTGTTGTTGGCCACCGAACAAAGAGGATAGCCTCCACTGGTACGGAGCTTCATTGCACACGCGATCACTGCCCCCACCATCTCGTGCCTCCTTTCACGCTCGTAGAGACTCCTCGCTTTTTCGTACCACCCGTCTCACGTGCAAAGGTACACGTCATGGCCTACTTGCTCGCCGTATAAATACTCGATAAACGGATAAGGGAAATCTCTGTTCTTGGTCATTTCAGGAGTTTGGCGGGAGAGTCTCCGAGGCGACTGCGTACACGGCCGTCGTGAGGGAGACATACTTCGAAATTGCGCTGCTCGACATCCGCGTTGGGCACCACGTGTGGCCGGGATCCTGCACGGAGGTACGGAGCGTCGTCGCTCTGACGCCACTCCTCGCCAATGTTCCTGGCCCTTCGCGAGAACCACGGTCAAATGACAAGCCCGGAACTCATCTCAGGCCGTGCGTTTACCGCCTTCCCCTTCGTGGTGCCACAACGTTTGCCCGACGACGTTGTGCGATCCTGGTCCTGCTGTAGGCCACTCTTCGGCTTTACACGGTCTGCGGAAACTTCCGCAGTCGTAAGTTGGTATGCCGTAACGATGGCGACATTTGCATTCGCACACGGGCGGCACAGGGCGCCAGACGAATCGGTCCGAGATGCGCTCCGGGCATTGTGGTCGCGTACGAGTCGGGATTGTCACGGTTTGTTGAGCGAACCTCTGCGTGCCGTTTGCAGCTGAACAGAAGTCCCGTGATAGTCGACAGTGGGACCACGGATCTGAAGTTCCTCCGCCCCGTCTTCGATTGGGTGTTCGACACCCTGGGGAGCTTGGTGAGTAAACTGCTCAAATGATTCCTCGTCGCGGATTTTTAAGACGATTCTCGCGTGTCTGTCGGACGTCCGAATGTTCCAAAGTGGGTCGCGCGGGGACGTAGGAACCGGAGCAATCTCCAGCTCTTTGGCCCGGTGCGATAAAATACTGGGTACAACCGTAATATTCCAAGTCATCGCCCATCCCCGAGTCATTGCCCACCCCATTTTTTGGGGTCAATATCGATTTCCAAAAAAACACAGTCATCGCCCACCCCTTCAAATACCCCAACGCGGAATCCGCGATCCATGAACACTCATCCTACCCGAATGACGCGGCCGCGGACCTTACAGTTGGAGGATGTCCATGACAAAGTAAAACGGAATGCAAGACACTTCTCTTTGTTTACGCATTTCCTCCGTGAGCGACCCCACAGTGGTAGTGTATCCGTGAGAAAAGAAAATGATGGAGATAAGAAAGTGAAAGTTTGTTTTGCTTACAAAAAAAAATCGACCCAACAAAAAACAAAAAATTTAAAAGTCAATACAAGCAGTAACTCAGTCAGGGATCGCGAGGTAAGCGAACGCTCCATATACTGGGAATGTAACTGCGGAGTGTAAGGTGAACGTCTGTGTTTGCCGAAGTAAGGTCGCTGCGAACCCGCTCTTTCCGGTACGTCAAGACACCGGTTGTGCAATGTTTTAGACAAAGCCAACTGGTAAATAAAGCTTTGCTGGAACACCCTACACGTTTGTAGAGCGTCTCAAACCCCCATTGATAGCACGCCATGCACGGACGCACGCATGTACGCACTAAACAAGAAAGTTGTACAAGAACTTGCGATTGACAAGCCCGACAGAAAAGAATTCGCCGACGTGATCGCCGGCTTTTCCGCTTTCCCAGCATCGCCCTTCGTCGCTTCTTTGGACCACTCGCTCGCTTGTTGCACCTGGTTAATTTTTCTATTTTCTTGTAGACTTTTTTTTTAACTAACTAGGAGAACATAGTGGTGACGTGCTTTCACGAAACAATCAATCGCGCTGTATGCAGATCGACGGTGTTCCTAGCGCGTATGCAAGTGACGGACTTCGTGATAGTAAAACATTTTTTCATGAGCATTTTTTCTATAAAACAATAAAACTAAATCGAGTTTCGAGTTTAATGTATTTCTTGTGCAGCAGCGGTAGATACGCAAAGAAAAATGGGCGGTTTTTTCCGCTTTTTTCAACTTTTTGTGCTCACCCACCGAGACATGGCCCACCCCACTTTTTTTATGAATTTCAGGCGGTAGGGAATGGGCGATGGCTCGGGATATTAAGGTATGTGTAACGCGCGTGTTGATCCAGTAGCGACCGACAAAGTGGTGCGATGTAGTGATCGCGGAACTGTTGTGGCACAGCTTCAGGCATTGCCGTGTGTTTGCGTTGCATAGCAGTAAAGTCGGTGAAAAAGAAAAAATATTACGTCAAAGCGGAACCCAAAGAGGGTATGTGCAGATGCCGCCCGCCCGAGTTACCCTCGCCAGTGGTCGTAAAAACAAAACCGCATCAATAGTAGCCCTTTCCCTTGGCTTTTTTTTTTAGATTTTTTCTTGATCTTTTGTTGACTGTGAAATTCAATATAAATGATGCTATCGAATACATTTTCGATACAGATTAGTTCCCTCGGCACGCAACATCGTCTCCTAATAGGATGGTGACACCGAGAAGCGGTACTATATGTCGTATCGTATGCCGTTTCTGCTCCTGGCGTTGTTAAAAATGTATTCTAAGATGTACCATATTGTCTTAATTTATGAGATTTTCTAAGTTGTTAATGTTTTTTGGATGATATCTATTGTTGCTGCAGTAGTGTGTCAAGTATCCCCTGTGTAGGGATACTTGACATTATGTACTTGTACATTATTAAATTTCAGAGCTTTTGTACAAAGTTACTTTTTTTTTTTTCACTATAATATGCTAAAAATGAGAAAACATGAATGGTTAGACTTCTTTGTTTTCAGGTTTCATTTCTGTCCATTATTTTAACCATACGTTCCACACCTATGGTTGTGTCCCCATTGTCCTCTCTGTTGTGTCCCATCCTCACTATAAGTTGCTGTGTTCCGATGGTTGCGTCCACATTGTCCTCTGTATGTCCCCGTTTCAGGTTCCCTCTCTCTTTTAGAGTGCAGCTCTTAGGTGCTCGTCTCCGGGTTTGAGAGACGTTGCCGTCGGCGTAGCCAAGCGCGTTGCATTATGGGACGTCACAGGTTCCTCGCTAAATTTAGCGGGGAAACTGAATTGCTGTTCAGGTCACGTGACATCAATTTCCCTGCTGAATTTAGCGGAGAAACTTAACCCGCTAAATTTAGCGGGAAATTGACGTCACGTGACCTCAACACTGATTCAGTTTCCCCTTTATATTTAGCGGGGAAAATGTCACATGGCTTTGTGTCACGTCACCCACGAACAAATTCAGCGGGAGGAGGAGGGGAAGAGGCATACCCTCCCCTCCTCCTCCTCAAGAGCTGCGCTCTAATTCTGCCTTGCAGAGATTTGTAACCGTCTTTCATTTTTGTGCCCCCTTGTTTAGGGGTTCAAAGCTCCCAAAGTCTACGAGCAGTTTTGCCCATTTTCCTGATGGGGCTATCGGACTTAAACGGACACTGACACCCCCAAAACTTATTACAGCGGAGCTGCTAAGGGCTAGTTTCCCGAGGATCGTGTCCCCTGAAAAGAAATGTTGACACAAAACTCTGGACAGCCTCCGCTATCTATGAGCGATGGCAGCAACCAGACGACCGGCTTCCCGGCCTCGCTTATAGATGGCGACAACCTTTCCAGCCTTTCCTCTCTGGTTTTCACCAGAGTGGAAAGGCTGAATTTCTGTAGGCGTTGTTCTAGATGTCGTCCTCGAGGTTGTCCTAGAAGTCGTCCTTGAGGTCGTCCTAGACGTCATTCTTCAGATCAACCTTGAGTTCGTCCTTGAGGTTGTCCTAAAAGTCGTCATTGAGGTCATCCTAGAAGTTGTCTTTGAGGTCGTCGTAGACATTGTCCTCGAGGTCGTCCTAGAAGTCGTCCTTGAGGTCGTCCTAGACTTTGTCCCTCAGGTCGCCCTGGGTATCGTTCTTGAGGTCATCCCAGACGTTGTCCCAGACGTCGTCCCTGAGGTCGTCCTAAAAGTCGTCCTTTAGTTCGTCGTAGACGTCGCTCTTGAGGTCGTCCTAGTTGTCGTCCTCTAGGCTTTGTCTTTGAGGTCGTCCCATCATAGTACAGCTTCGGCGGTCTTCCCTTCTTCACCAAAGTGGAAAGGCTAAAAGCTCTGTTTTTATTTTCTGCCAGGTTATTCATTAGGGTGTCAGAAGACTACCCAATCGATATTTTTCTACAGCGTCACATATATTTCTAATAAAGTAAAAAAATGCAACTGCTCGAAACCGAAAGTGGACTGGGGAGGAAAAAAAATAAAGGAGAGGAGAGTGGTGGCAGAAGTCGCATGGCTGTGATACTTTTCCCCCAATCAACGTATTTGCGGCTTTTTACAAGCCACAAAAAATGGGTATCATTATTTTATTCTATTTTTATATTGTGTGTGCACCTTCGATGACCCACGACTTTCATTATATTTGGTGGTTGTGTCTAAACCATAGAAAACTGCCCGTGACCACAGAGAAGAGAGTGAGCGCGACTCAAACCGGCTAGTTCTTGATTGGCGGTTTTTGGGCGGAAAGAAAACGAATATTGAGCCGCAAATTGTTTTTGAATAGTTGGTCTATCATATGTCATGTACAAATAAAAACCTTGGCGAGCATAAATACCCTGTCAGTGTCCCTTTAACCTTGATTTCTTTTTGTGTGCTATCCATTTAGGGTCATAATATAAAACTGTTTAAAGAAAAAAAAAAAACAATTTGGTAGAGTCATGTCAAAATGAAAGAAAAAAATATTCTCTTGTTCCAGTTGTATAAAATGAGACAAACCCTATGCCAGGCAAGTAAGCATGAAATGTACGCACATTTTCCATCAATACACACAAACGGACTCTCAACGAATTGCTCTTCGGAGTGCTCGCTAGCCAACGTCACCCCCAGAAATGATTGCCCGCTTTCTCGCAGCATTATGTGCTTGAAGCGTCCCGTTCCCTCATCCGGCCCTCGGTCCTAGAAGAATGAGCATGTTTTGCTTCTCTGTCTTTAGCCAAATGCTATTCTTTCTTTTCTCGCACCTTATTGGCAAGCGATGCCTCAATGCACGACTGCTTCTGCTCAACTATGTCTTACTGCATTCATTCCTTTCTTTAGCGAGGCATTGCAAGGACGACCGGTGAACTTCTGACTTTTATCGTAGAGCAGAGTCAATTGCAACACATGCATTTGTCGGGGCAGCTACGTATCACATCATCTGTATTACGATGATGCATGTGCCGAACGACTTGCGACCCGTTCACACGTACGCGACGAAGAGAGAAGGAGGTAGGATGGTGCAGGGCGGGGGCCAAATCCTTTCGCGTTACAGACGAGAATGTTCCGGGGCCGAAAGAGATGTTGTCGCGTTTGATACGCTTGATCCCTACCCTCGTGCAATGAGGTGTCGCCACCCCGTTCCTTTCTTAGGGGATCTACAACCTGTCTCGAGACGCAGGGACAGTGTACTGCCTGGAGGACGGATTCGTGACCGCCGGCTTCCCGGACGTGCACCTCCATTTTCCGGACTCTAGCGGCAAGGTGTTTGAGCTGGAGCTGACTCCCGAGGCACGTTTGTTTCTCCCCGTCAGAGCCGCTCCTTTAAATGTGGTTTGGCTTTTGATTGACTGCTGCTCCTATCGGTGCTCCCAACAGGTCTATTTTCAACGGGTGAAGGTCACGACTGGAGACAGGGCTTGCTACAAGCTCGGGATCGGTGCTTCGGAGTTAGGTCGGTGAGCCCCGATAGTTGGAGCACCTTGGAGTCAAAGAAATTATGTTCGACATCCCTCGTGGCTAGGATTTTGTGTGTTGGGATAAGTCCTGAAAAATCCAAATTGCTCTTGTTGTGTTTATCCAAAACATTCAAATTTCCTCGCTTTTAATTTTGAAAGAGCCACTGATGTTTCCCTCTTCCATAAACTCTTCTGTTCAGTTTTTTGCACCATCATTTAGCTATTACATTTCTCCTGATGTGTAGGCAGTTAACAGAAAATGAGAGGATTCCTGTAGATGAGCAGCAATTTTTTTGTTCTAATGCAGAAACTAATGATCTTAGGCAGATAAGACAACATAAGCCTGTCTCTAGGCTTCGTTGCGGAATGTACTGCAACGCAGTCGAATGACAAATAGATGTGCTGAATGTGCACAGTTCTTTGATATCTCACTTTTTGAGAAGCATGCTTCCTTTCTCCAGAAATCCCAGAACTATGCAGAGTGAGGTAGCCAAATGGTGGTACCAGAATCGTGACACATGGGCTTAGACACTGATTATATTTCCTAACTAATGTGATTTCTTCCTTGTTACATTTTCTTGCCATAGGTACCGTGATCGGCTTCAATGTCCTGAGAAGGTTGCACACGGTCTTTGACCTCAAGAACAAGCGTGTCGGCTTTTCTAAGCTCCACTGTGCCAAGGGAGGCGTTGGTGTCGTCTACACAAACTACAGTTACACAGGTTTGTCGGGGTAGAAATGGCATGGGTGTCTGGTTCTCAGACAGCAGCTGGATGTTGTAAATTGGCATTTGTTTTTCACCGTTAAAACCAGCATTTGTAGATAAATTATATGCATGAGCACCACAGTGGCACAGGTTAACGGTGAAAAATGGTGTGACAAAATTGGAGAATGACTAGAACAGCCACTACACCTTCTGAGGGAAAGTGCAGGAGCATACAACATAAAATATCCCTAGGATGTCGGCCAAGGAAAATTTAACAGCATTTTTTGCACCCCAGAAAAAAAAACTGCAATGCCGTGAGCTTGGAGTGCACTTGAAATGCAGTTGTAGCAGTTTGGAGAAGTTACCAATACTTCAGAAACACCCAAAGTAAAAGAGTGATTTTCTAAGATCTACTTGAGAAAATGGCATCCGTATTCGATCGGCACTCTGCGCTGTTCATCTCTCTCTTTGCGGGTTCCATTGGTCACCATTGGCTCCTTGATAATTTCTGAAAATCACTATTATCTTTTGAACGAGACGTTAAGCTCTGAAACTTAGCATAGGTACTTTTCTACTGTTGTTACATATGGGCAGAGTCTAGGCACGCCGTTACATAAAGCTTACTTTTTGGTGCTAAAAACACTGTTCACTTACTTGAGACGACACCCCATACTTTTGTTTAGTTGTTTGAGACTTTCTGTTTTGACTGCACGGCCTCAAAAGGATGGTATTTCCTTGCCCAATGTTTACGTCTGTTATGGCAACACCAAGAATAAAAAATGAGTAAATGTCAAAAGGTAAACCACTATATTTTTTCAGCCTATTAGTTACACCTATTACAGGCCAAATTAATACTTTGCACACATCCTATGTTGGCATCTTTTGGATATATATTACTAAAAACTTCAAAGCCTAGGTACTTATATGGAAGCCTCAGCAATTCATGGCCTAGTGTCTGCATGGAAGAAATGAGTGCTTTATATAGTTTTAATGCAACATTAAAATTGTGAAGTTTGTAATCTTTTACATTCTCTAATTTATGAACTTAAATGGTAACATGTTGCAGTGTGTGATATCGTTGAAACTTGTTGATGATTTTTTTTTTAGCAATAATTAACTGTCAAAATTTGATGTGACAGTTTCTAGTTCTGAGTAAGTGTTTGTGATATGTTCAAACGTGGCTCTGGATTCCCGCAGATGATGATGCCATGTCTCTAAAAGCTCATAAACAAAAAATAATGTGTACCGTATCTTCCGGTGTATAAGACGCATCGTTGTATAAGACGCAGCCCCCTGTTTTCGCAAGTTTTTCAGTAAAAATTGCTAGATAAGACACACCGCCAAAAAGTTTGGGGAAAAAGTTTTTTATACATCGGAAAATGCATATTTTCTGCTCTAAAAGACGCACCCCCCCCCCCTCCTTTTTGCAAGTTTCCAAGTAAAAATGAGTATATAAGACGCACCTGTGTATAAAACGCATTGCCAAAAATTTTGTAAAAAATGTGTGTCTTATACATTGCAAAATACGGTAGACGTGAGAGACAAACAGTGAGTGGAATTCTGGAGCACCCACCACGTGGCAGCAAGCGTTGTGCCACGTTGCACTTTGGTGGCATGTACTTATAGAACACCTCTGATTGGATACATTTTGTTCCAGTGCATTAATAAAACATATAGGAAATGTCAGAAAGACCAGCCGGTGTGGTGTAGCGGTTAGCACACCCAATCGAACATTGGGAGATCTGGAGTCCAAATCCTCGCTCCGCCACATATTTTGTCTTCAGCGGCTTCATAGAGTTTTCGATTATCATAGTACTCTACCATATTAACTGTGTTTGTCAGTTTAATAAAACTGAGAGAAAATATTTGCATAACTATAACTGGCCAGCCAAATAAGCCACATCGGATTCTCTAGCTGACTTTTTAAAAACAGGTTGTCAAAGTAGGTTGTGAGCAAGTTTCATTAGAGTCCTCGATACAAACCAAAGGGAAGAGCTAGAGGCATTAATCTGAATTTCATACATCCATGTTTGGGCCCCTTGAACTTGATGTTGTTCTATTTTAGCAACATTTGTCTTTAGCACAAAAGCTGCGTCCGGGATGAACCTCTACCGGACTTGGCATTGATGCTATAAAGCAGTACAGAAGCATACAGATATTGTGGACAATAATGCACATACTAGGGCAGTGGTTCTCAACCATAAGTGTTTCACGGACCCCTTGTGCAACGGCGGATATGACAAAGGACCCCGTTTGTTGTGAGGGAAAGGGAAAAGTGTAGGTTAATTATGATAATGATTTAATAAATGGATATAACTAAGTGCCACTGTGAAGTAGACTTCTCTTAATGACATAGGTACGTGCGAGAAAGCTCAACCGAAAATTGAAATGTTTCATCACTATCTGAAAAAGATACCTACCACTTTTATTGCCGGGCTTGACTGATGAGGCAGAGCTTCGCGGTCCCCTAGAATGCTTTCGCGGACCCGCATTTGAAAACCTCCCTACTAGGGTAAGCTTGACACATACAGGGTGTTTCTTTGTTTTTTTTTAACGCTTTATTGATTTGTTAAAAATAAAAGCAGTGAAAGGTACACTAATGTGGTCTTGCAGGTGAGTTGTATGAGCAGGGGGACATAATACAGTGCAATCCACTTATAACGATACCACATAGTATAACAATATCCTGCTTGTAAAGATCCGTTTCTATATTCTGTTTCACCTGATGATGTACTGCAGGAAAGGCTACAAGCGCGAGCTCCTTGCTCTAGGGCACATCTCGGCGGCACAAGCTCTCGTGCGTTAAGAGCAGCTCCCAACGCTGTGAGCTTGCACTTCTAGCCTTTTCTGCGGTACAACATAAGGTGAAACAGAGTATAGAGCTTTTAGACTAGAAACGCTCAGTCTAGTCCAGATACAACAATAATCGGTAATAACAATTTAATTTTTGTCTTTTTCTCATTATCGTTATAAGCGGATTGCACTGTATTAGGTGGCTAATCGCCACAACTCAAATAATTGAGTAAAACTTGCTCATTGACTTTTTTAATTAGCAGAAATTAAACATATGGTTCCCATTAGAAACTTGAGCGTCATTGAAAATCACTAAATCAGTCATTTTCTTGGGAATGTGAAGGACGTAAGAAGCGCGGGGGTCTACCAAAGTTACCACTGGTGCGTCGGGCGTAGAGCTAGCAGTTAAAAAATGCAGTTTAGAATCTATTCATTCGTGTCTTCCCACCTTTGCACTTGTTGCTCAAGAGGTAACTTTGGTGCACCCCTGCACTTCCTACGTGCATGAAATCCCCCTAAAGTTGACTGATTTAGTGGTTTTCGACGACACTTGGCAAGCTTCTAGTTGGAATCACGGGCTTATTTTCACGAGTTTAAAGGTTAATTAAACATTTTTACTTCGGTCGGACTTTTCTAGAGAATTAGTCCCCCTTGTTACCGTAAAATACTGTGGAAGCGCCTTCTTCGTTCAAGCACACACTATTAGCATTTCCCAAACTTGGGAATTCTGCACCCGATTTGACCGGACAAGCATCCATGTATAGATTAACCCAGTTTTCAGCGAAAGTGGGTGGGTACTCCGCCCACTTCCTTGACCTTATAACTCATTTGCACAGAGCACATTAGGGTGTGTTCAGATAAAATCAAACACGTGAGTCCGGTTTGCATTTTTTTTTTTTTATATATTTTTATATGTTACTTCCCAATATGTGGAGGGAACAAAATCAAAAAGGTTTTCTAAAAAGAAATCTAAAGAAAAAAAAAGACTTCCCCAAGACGGCAACGCCGTTTTTTTTCCAGCTTTGCTGGTTCTGTCAAGTTTGACTGCATGTAATAGGCAAACGAAAGATACCAAAAATTTTGACCCTATTTTTGTGACTCATTATCTCGTTATATGTTAAGGACAGTATTAAACTGAAACTTTTTTTATGTCTTTCATAAAACTGTCCCTTATCAAAAAATAAATTGCTGTTTTAGTTTATGATTCAGATTATTTACAGCGCTTCAAACATATCCGAAATCGAAAAGTTTCACATCTCCAATGTGCAGTTTAAAAAACCCAGAAAAACTCAATCTTTCTAAAATTTCGAGGAATCACTCTTTTTTACACCCTCATAATACTCCATTCAAAACATGTTGCATCGTTTTGTCTCCGTCAAAAGTATGGCGCTTTGAAATGTACCTCCCCACGTGGACATATTTGCCCAAGGCCACAGCCACCGTGATCGCCTTCCAAATTTGTGAATGTTTTACGTGTGATATGTAATTTTTAGAATTCTGTAAACATTTAAGAATATAGTAACTATAATTCACTGCTTCTTAAAAAATATCAAGTTTTTTTGTATTTTTAGTTTGTTTGCCTTTACATGCTGTCAAACTTGACAGAACTGACAAAGCCCGAAAACAATGTTGCCATCTTGGGGCAGTCATAATTTTTTTTTTTTTTTTTTAGAATCTTTTGTTATTTTGTTTTTGCCACATATTGGGGAGTAATGTACAAAAATATGAAGAAAAACAAAAATGTGAACCGGACTTGCGTGTTCAATCTTTTCTGAACACACCAATTAATTTACCTTTCACTTTTTTTACCAATTTGTTTAAATTAAAGTTAAACACTCTATATAGTTATGCATTAGTGAGCAGCTTATCCGCGACTCCAGCGACCTATAGGGGGCGCCATCACCAAGCAAACATGGCGGCTGAGTCCAGGTCGCGTCGGCTCGGCTGGGCCGCCTGAACGGGTGGCGCATTTAATTTAACAGATTTTCTTGTGTGTAATGCCCAATTTTATAGAAATTTGTACTGCGACGGTTAAGTGTAGCCGGTGCACATAAGCTTGCAGAGCATGGTTTTGTTTTCCCGGTGTTTTTTTTTTTTATGTTAAACATTTGTTTTGGAGATTTCGATCAAAAACGAAACTATGGGCTCCGGAGAGACGGTAATAGATTCTAATCAGTTCTGATTAGCTAAGGAAAGCGGCGATGGCTACCAGAATTGTTCCACCGAGAGTAATTTTCAGCTAACTCGCAAGCCTCGACCATGCGACTGATCTGTCCGCGAAATCGAGCATATTTGGAGTCTGTATAGGAAAACACACTAGCATGCAAAATTTGGTGGCATTCTGACCAGAAATAAAAAAAATTGTTTCAAGACCCTAGTGCCCCCTTAAGTGAACTCCTGAATAAAAGTATATTTGACAGACAGAGGGATACCACTTTTACTCTGTCAAATGGTTCTAGCCGGTAGCACGGAGACAAATGCGGACAAACTGAAAAGAGTGTTCATCGGATATTAAGCAGAACCTCTCTGCATTGAACTTGACTTCGACACCTGAACGGAGAAAATTAGTATTTTTTTGTGGCCGATCACCCTGAGCATTGTAGAGGTGTATTGCTGCTGACTTCGACGGGGGTATAATATAAATATTGGAGGCGCGATAGATCATAATGCCTTGACAGTTAACTTTGCGAGACACGTCCCCCATCTTTTGAAAGCAGAAATTTCCCTCATTAATCGTATGCAGCGAGCAGGTTTGTCTGGAATCAAGTAGTTGCGAAATCAACCCAACTCTTTCGGTGTGGTCCAGAGGCTTTTTCGGCGAAAAGCAGCCTAGATGATTAGCCAACACCCACCGGCGTGGGTGGCTCAAACTTGCAGATAATCGAACACATCCAAACTCAAGAAAAGAAGCAATCGAAGCTTCCCATTCACTTGACTGCAACATTGGTGTTCCCTCCAGGGAAACACCTCGTCTGTCGTCCTCATTTCACTGTTCTACATCCGTATAAAGAAACCACTTATCAGTTACCAAGTAGTTGTCACTTTGAATGTGATTCGAGACAGACAAAAAATCTAAATGTTTTTCTGTGATTCCTCCCCGTCTAAGAAATGGAAAGCACGCGACCGTGTGTTGTGGAATAAACGGGCTTTCAAACAAGTGATGGAATGAAACAATCTACTGAGGCTTCACCACACTAATAAACACTCGAGCAAACTTAAGAAATTTTCAAACTTTCGCCAAATTATATTGTTCGCCACCGCGCCGACAACACGTGTCCGTGAAAGCCACCAGAGACGCGGAGGGGCGCGGAGCGACCTGGTCCGGCTGGTTCCCTGTTTTCCCGCTTAGTGGCGTCCGTTTTGCTGGAGTCGCAAATACTTACTAAAGTTGTCCTCAAAGCGGAAAAACATTTTATATTTTGGACGGTCGAGAAAATTTCTGAACTCGGGGGAATTCTCAGGGGTGCTTTGGGGAGTACCTGGCTGCCTAGGAACCCATTTTGAAAACCCAGGACCTCAAGCTAGCTTTATGCCAGGTGCTGTGGGCCGTGCCCTTAAATTGTGATCTCAACCTTGGAGGTTCAGAATCTCAAATTGAATGTCTGGACCTTCCACGGATGCCTCTGGGTCTGAAACTCCCAAACGTTTGCTTACCCAGGTCACTCTTGCGCTTGGGACTTTGTTACCATGGAGGACAACGCCTGGACCATACTCCTCTACGTACTCATCTTCATTGTTGTAATGTGTGCCATTCCGTCGACAGTGATCCTGTTCATTTGGATCAGGAAGAAGGTTAGGATCTACAGAGCCAGAACTACAACAGAGGGAGTCGGCCTTGTAGATTTTTAAAAGCAGCTGGAGATTTTTTTTTTTTGTTCTTTTTCTTGGGCGTTGTTTGGTGGTTTTAGCATGTGCCAACTTTATTCTTTTCATTTCCCTTATACGTTTTACTGTTTTAAAGTTTACCTGTACATGTACAGTTTTATTGCGCCTACTAGTTGTTCTGGGGCTCAATTTTATTTTTAACAATGTTTACCTTTGCGTGCATGTTGAGAAAAATAAAATTGTACAATTTTCTCGTTTTCTCTTCTTTTTGTCCTGAACGGTGGCCGGACGGAACTCGCCAGCTATAAACCCCGTTCCTTCACGTGCCCGGACAAAGGCTTCCTGAACGAGTCATTGTGGCAGGCTAATATACGCTCGGTCCTGGTAATTCGATCGAAGAATCTTCATGCTTCATCTGTATGTTTAATCCAAATTCTGACCGCACTCGCAACCACTGGTTCCTTTAAGCATCGCTAATCCTTCGAGTGTTGGGTTTTTTCCCACATGTTAAACACAAATTTTGGTTCCATGCAGAAAATCTAGCACGCTTTATGAAGTATATTTATCGAAGAAATGCTTATCTATGGGCTCAATGTCAATTGATGTCTGCGTGCCTCCAACCTAGGATATTTTCCTAGAATTGTACCTCTATACTTTTCGAGACGGTGCGTCGCAACGTGGCACCCCAACCTCGCACCCTTTTCTTATTTAATTTATTACTAAATTAGTTTATTACAAATTTTTTAGATCTCAGCGTTTGCCATAAAATGCGAAGTCGAGTGACACAACTAACCTTTCTGGAACAATGGGGGAGCAAATGGAGACAAGTCCCCTAAACAAAACTTTATACGTGCAGTCAGGCATTATTGAAAGGCAGAGCATTGCTCGACACATACAAATAAAATTGACAGCCCAGTTGCGAGAGGTAGGGAGAAAATTGAAACTGAAACCTGCATGGGCTAAGGGTTAAAAGGGCAGTGACACCTCCAAGAAGTTCTTATTTATTTTTGCCACACGGACCCCGTAAGGGCACATATAAGCTGGTGTGTACGGAACATTTTGAAGCAACCCTAGACTCTGAAGAAATACAAAAGTTGACACCAAGAGAAGAGAAGGAAGAGACGCTCTCCTTCCCTTCTCTTTGTGTAAACTTTCATATTTCCTAAATTTTGGGTTTCTTTAAAATGTTTTTTGCCAGGTGATTTAATATGGTGTCGGGAGATTACTCAATCAGTATTTTGCTGCAGAGTTGCATATATTTTTAATAATGGGAAAAAACTTGACTGCTCGAAACCGAAACACGAGGACGGAAGCTTATGGCCGGAAGTCTCATTACCACAACCGACCACATTTCTTTCTTTTTTTTTTCTTCGCTTTTTTGGCGTGTGAAGCAAACAACGGCAACAACAAAGTTACAGGGACCGTTTGTCCCGCGATTGTTTTGCTCTTGTATCACTTCCACTAAATGTTCTGCGCTTAAAGATTGATTGGCTGGTATCACGAACGACAGTTCCGAAATAGCTGCCCCACCCCTGTCGCAACATTGGTCCGTCACATGCCACCATTGCATCGTTCAGTTTGCGGTACGTTGCCATTTTGAGAATGACGTGTGCATGTACTTCCTGTGGTCTGTGCAACATTTGTTTTTTACAGCGAAGCTGTTATGCGCTAGGATCTGGGAAAAAATTGTTTGCAGATGTTCACAGAAAACTCCCCATTGGTCGTGGCAAGTATGAATAAATAAAAATAAAAAGAGAGGGCAACCACCATGAGTAAGCCTTCCTTGGCATTATTAGATAGGTCCTGATCCCTTGTTATCATCTCTAGGCGTCGTCCTCGAGGTCGTCCTTGGGTCCTCTAGGCGTTGTCAAAGACGTCGTCCTAGAAGTCATTCTGAGGTTGTCCTAGACGTTGTCCTCGAGGTCATCCTAGACGTTGTAAAAATAATAGCTTCGCTGGTTCTCCATCTTCACGTCGAGTAGAAGGACTCTACAATTTTTTTTCAATCAACATATATGCAGCTTCTTGGAGGCCACAAAAAATTGGGTTCATATTCTTTTCCATTTTCAATATTCAATGTGTTCCTTAGATAACCCACTACTTTGGATATGTTTGGTACACATAGGCTGTCTTCCAAAATTTACTCCATCTCCATTCATCGCGTCCAGCGGTGCTCTATCTGTGTTGTCACGTGACATGATCCACCGGAGTAATTCAGATCTATTCGAGTAAGACTTGAACCACAGCCATAGTTTGAACGCCACATGACCATAGGAACGAGTGAGCGCGACTGAAACTAGCCATTTCTCGAGTGACTGTTTTTGGGCAAAGAAAACGAATTTCGAGCCACAAATTTTGTTGTGGGTAGTTGGGCTCTTATAGGTCATGTTCAAATAACTTCGGCAAGCATACACCCTGTCAGTGTCCCTTAAAACACATGAGCTGTGATGTCTGTGTATTGTTTTACATCTATCCCGAGAACAGCAAAAATGGAATGGCCCAAAGTGATGTGGCTGTGACAGTGGATCCGCGCTTTACCACATTCACGGTTTGAGGATTTTTCGGTATGAATTCTTGCGTGGGCATGGCACGAGTGAGTGCGAACACTAGGGAATTTCCTAACGAAAAACCCTCGAACCAAGTCTCTGAGAGGGGGCACCACTTCTGCCAAAAGAGGTGGATCTACCATAATTATGATAATTAGTCTCGGGTGCTCAGTGGCACCTGAAAGAAATACGACTGACCCTGTGTCGCGGCAAACCAAAATGAAGCTTTATTCTCTTGTGGCCCCGCACAAGCCACGGGCCCCACTAAACGCGCGTGTGTGCCTTGCTTATAGAAAGCGGGAAGTTCAAAGGAGGCTCGTGCCACATGTCCCTCCTGGAATAAATTAGAGTTTCGACTAGTCTAGTTATTCGCCGAGCCGCATGGTGGGCAAACATTTTTCCAGCCCTCGACACTGCCACAGGGACTCTGCAGTTTTGCGTCGATGTCTGTGACTGTGAGGTACTAAACGCTTTATCAAAATTGTCATAATATTGGATGCGTGTAAAAGTTTTCGGAAGGCAATTTTCGAAGGCAATGGCGTTTGAAGCAGACGATTCTTTTTACGTGGAAGAGATGGACTTTTTGGGTTGGCCGGAGTGGGTCACGTGAACGGTGCGACATTCTTTTCGTTTTCCGAACAGCGTGGGAGACCGTCGATGCACGTAGCTTCTATACTCCGTCTCACTAAAACCGTGCAGTACAGCCTAAGCTACAGGGGAGAGAGCGTATGCCAACCTGTTCAAGAGGAGGGAAACAAGGAATGCAAGAGAAGGGCTGGGATTCCCCTGAGTCGAAACGATCGTCTGCCAATGACGCATTTTCTCGGCACCGTTTGTTCGTTCTTTGACGCAAGTTGGCGTCGTGACCGCTTGCACCATCTCTTGTTACCCATGCGAAACTGTGCCGTATTGTTTGAAGAGCGGTGGCTTTGTTTCGTTTCCATAGGAGCTAAGCCTTTTTCTTTCTTTACTTTTTCCTCAAGTAAATTCACTGTTTGTAAATTTTCCAAAAAAAAAAAAAAAGCACCATCTGTGGGCAATGCCGCACAAAATCGCAGCGCGATAGGTTAAGAAACCGAATTTTGCGGTCGATTTACAGAGCATGGATGCGATTTGGGACACCTGGTAGTTTAGAAGTTATCAGCTTTGTGTTAGACACTGGCGTGCTGGCATGACTCGATGACTCTCTGGAAATATTAGTGGTTCTGCCGTGTTTAATTGAGCAAAGGCCTGTGTTTCGGAATTAGAATAATATTGAAACAAATGCTTGTGTTTTCATTTTTTGAAGAAATTAATTAGCATTGGGTGGTGTCACTTAAAATCAAACGGTACTGGCGCCTCGGGGATCTTAGAGAAGGGGACATAGGCGATCAGTGTGCTTGTGTATATGTGCGTGTGTGTGTGGCCGGGGGAGGGGGAGGGGGTTGTACCCTTTACCCACACTAAGTCAAGGACACCCCAGGCGCATTAGCCCGCCCCCCCAAAAAAACTTGGCGATCACTATTTTTTTTTTGTAGGGTTGAATATCTTTGTTGATGAAAGAAAAAGAAATGAAACATGCTGGTGTAAGGTTTTCGACGTCTTGTGCCTAGATGATGGGGGCAGTGGCACAGGGACAAAAGATGGGGGGGGGGGGGGGTGCGCAGAAAAAATTGGTCATTTCCAGTAAACAATAATTATAGACCCCCTCCCCAACTCGCTTAATCTATCCTAAACACTTTCAACACTACTAGACGGGGCATGCCTGAAAGGTTGTAGCATTTTTAAAAATCAAATGAACTGTGTGTTTGTAAGTAGAAATTGATAGATGTGATGAATGTTAAAAGATGTTTTTGTGGTTGTGTGATCATAGGTGCCAAACTTTGGGACTATGAGCGTGCGGGTTTTGGCCGCAGTGGGGGGCAGGGGACATTTGGAACATCTGTGTCTGTGTGTAAGAGCTGAGAGGGGCCCGGGGGGGGGGGGGGGTTACTTGTGTCTTAAAAATTGCTTACTAGCCTCCCCCTCCGTTCCCACATTTACTACCCTCATCAGCTAAGCACCACGCAATGGTAATGCGCTGACTGTGGCAAAGGCGCATTATACGTAAAAATCTTAAACCAGCTTTCGAATAGTTAAAAAAAAAAAAATATTTGTCTTACAAACAAACAAAAAAAAATGCAAAAAGAAACTGAAAAAAAAAAAAAATATTGATCGCTTATCTCCTGCTTTGATCCTTTTTCTTTCCAGTGTACAAGGTGCGATTACAGTTCAATCTGTACTCAAATGCGCCACCCAATGCTAATCAATTAAAAAAAAAACAAAAAAAAAAACAGGTAATTATTGGAATTTAATGGATTCCGATTAAGTTAAACACCGCACAACTGAAGTATTCTAGTACAGTGTAGCACAACCACTAATATTCATATGGACGTGATGCTGCCAACAGGCCAGTGTCACATCGTAAGTCACTGTATCCAAAGTTTCCCACGTTTAAATCTCTCCACACGTGGAGTGCGGAAAATTCAACACATTCCGCACGCGGTTGGATTGCGGATAAGAACTCGACACAATCCGCATTCAGAATGAATTTAAAGAATATAAATTTATCAGCCTCGCAGAGTGCGGAACCACTATGTGGGGAGGTCAAGAAGGTAGGGCGAGGGCAATAAGGGTGAGGGAAATGAAGGCTGAGGTCATGGATAGGGGTGTCGCGAACTTTTGTCGAACCGGATTTTTAGGTCGAACTTTCGGGGTTCGACTGGATCGAACCGTTCGACGAACCTTCGAACTTTTCACCAGATTCGACCGGTTCGACTTTGCGGACAGTGTACTAACCTCGATACACGCATGTCTAGGTTTGGAGAATTTATTTTTATGCAAAGGGTTATTTTATTTTATGAACAGTTGCAATTAAAAGAAACCAATTCTAATCACTGAAGATGTTAATAAATTAATTTTTTGTACTGTATTAACTGAAATAACCAATCAGCGGTGCCCTTAATTCATCCCTTAGCCATTACCATCCAATCCGAAGCCAACTGGCCAGCCTGTCGCGCTTGTGCACACGAGTCGAACCTCAATACAAAGTTCGTCGAAATTTCCACGAAAAGTTCGAAAAAGTCGAACCTGGTCGAACTCGAACCTCGGCCGGTTCGCGACACCCCTAGTCATGGATATGGGGTGGCTGGGGAGCAGGGGGGTAAAGGTGGGTGAGGAGGAGTGGCAAATCCCGTGCGCCGACACCCGGGGTCCCGAGTGAACGATCGCAAAAGAGAGCGACAGAACACGAGAAAAAGAAAGCAACGTTGCCATGGTTGCCATGGTAAACACGAAGAGTGTAAACTCTCAGCAATATAAACAGTGATAATTTAACGTTGTAAACTAAATTCTGAGCTATTCTAACGTTTATAAAAAGCAATAAAGTCATTACGCTGCATTAACTTCCCTTCTGTCGAAATCTCGGAAATCTGGTGGTTGCGCAGTTTCGTATTCCTCAACCGCGCCCACCCGCGCCCCACCGCCGAAGCCGGGTATATGGTTTAGTTTAGCGTTAACGCGAAGCCGTACATCTGCGCGCTATGCAAAAAAAAAAAGCTTCGAAAGGAATGCGAATATCTTTCCACCGGTAAGTTCGGGGATTGTTGAAGTTCACGAAACTGCTCTGATGATGTAACCGTGTTTGGGACCCCGAGGGTCTGCCTGCATGATCCGCCGCTTGCGGCAGCCAGAATGTATGGGAAAATGGCGGACCTTTTCCTCTAGAGTTAGTATGTATGATCTCTATGCTGGGGAGGTAGAAGCAGACCAGACCAACCAGGACCGACACCACGGAACACTTGAGAGGAAAGGGAAAAACATTCCCCTCTTTCCAGCATTCTGTCTGCTTTCTCGATCGTCCCCGGCCTTCCTTTTCCTCGCCCTGCCTTCCTGAGTTGCATCCTTTCTGACATCTTTTCTTTCCTCGAATTTCCTACCAAGAAACCCTCGAACTAAGTCTCCAACAGGGGGCATCACTTTTGCATAAAGAGATTAGGGAGGCTCTAGTGAGGGTGGGCGCAACTCAAAACCTGGAGAGCGTTTGCAATTTAATGGTGGCGCCTGAGGGAGAGGATTCAAGAAAGGATATGCGCCAGTGTTGCCTGCACGAGAGCAGGCGCCCGCTCTGTTGCAACTCTGTCGCTCCATGCGCCTTTCCTCCTCTCGCCTCCCATTGCAAGCAACGAGCGCCTTGGCGCAGCCTCTCTCGCTTCCTTCTCGCTCCGAGAATTGCAAACGTCGAGCGGAGAAAGCAAAGTTGCCAGACAAGCAGCAACGTCCAAGATGGCGGAATTTACCATTTTTCGCGTTAAAAAAATACTTAACCTATCGCAACAAAACTGGTGGCTATGGAAAAGTAATCGTTTATACCTTGTGTAAATTATTCAAGCACCTTAATGGGCCTTTATGACCCGAGTTAGGAAAGAAAACGACCCTTTGCCCCATAGACTCCCAGCAAAATTTAGCAATTAAATGGCGTCCATGTCCCGTGATCGCCGATCTAGCAGTTGCACCCACCCTCACTTGAGCCTCCCTAAAAAAGATGGATTTACCATAATTATAATAATTACAGTGGCCTGTACTATAATGGTTGATGCATACAGTTGATGTCATGGCCTCTGAGATCCCCACCGTGATTTAGTATTTTTCGGCTAGGCGGCACAAGCTACCGCCCGTTACAAAGGGCATAGTATATTATCTATCCATTCATACAGCGGAATAACTTGTCTGGCGTGTGGTGTGGTGTCCGGTGTTTTTTAGTGGCTAAACTGGCTAAACCCGTTAAACCTCTGTCACCTCTGTCCTCAGCCGTCGCTGTCTGTCATTCTCTGTACTGTTAGGCTGTTTGCTTTCGCAGTCTCTGACATTCTCTCGCGATGGCACCGAAGAAGAAAGGGCCCTTCTTCTTTCTCATGAGAGAAATTCAGAACACACTCAAGCAAGAAAACAAACCTTGCTCGATGGAAGACGCTCGCGTCGAGGCGAGCCTCGTGTGGGAGGTAAGCGTTGCTCGCGCCTCCGTCACGTTTTCGTAACGTGACATTTGTCCTGGGACACTTGTTCTGGGACACCTCCAAGACGGCACCCTGCCATCGTCATCTCGTGGGGTACGCTGCTGGCACCATGAAACTTAAGTTGTCCGAACGGACAAGGAAACCGAGCGCACACTCAAGTCGTCTCAGCCAACCTTATTTTTTTTTTTTTTTGTGCGACAGTGTATTGCGAAGCTTACAGCGCGAAGTGAAGTTTCCTCGTGGCTGACGAGCAGCTAGTAGTAGGCAGACGGAATAGTGTGACAGAATGCTGCACTCATTCTTCGTTTCAGAATATGACGGCTGATGAACGCGCTGTGTACGAGAACATGGCACGAGACTACAGGGAGCGGGGCCGAGGTTCCCTGTACAACAAGTTCACGTCTGATGGCCGTCCCATAGCGGTGAGATTCGAAGACGTTATCTTCCGCATGCCGTAGGCCTGGTTCTCTCGTTCGGGCACAAGCTTGCCCTCTCTGTAAGACCTTTTGTCGTGAATATAAGGATCACGAATCAGCCTGGTTACCTCTGTGCTGTTTGAATGAAATGGGGAAGCTTTGGGAACTGTCTGGCAAGAAAGCATACTATTAGGAGAATGCTATGCATAGTGTACTACACCAAGGTGCAACTGTTGCACATAACAAACGTCGGTGCCGTCATGACCACGCTGGTGGTCACTGGTCCCTGACATACCAGGGGCTCTAAACTCGTGAAACACAAAGTTTGAGCCGGAAGTTTGCGGAGCGCACCGATTGGACGTCAGCGAAAAAAGCGCAAAGTCATCATCGTGATAGGCCAATCGGTGCGCTCCGTTAACTTTGGCCCCAACTTTGAGTTTCACGAGTTTAGCAACCCAGGTTAACCACCAGCTCTTTTAGGGGTTGAGACTGTGCCCCTGACTTGTTACTTGGGCACAGCCAAAATTTGTTGCAAAAATCGTTCTGGCAGTTTTGCTATCGTTAGAATGACCATATTCCTCAAGGTAGAAAACGTTACATCCCAGCCCGGAGAGAGAGAGAGAGGGGGGAGGAAGGGAGGGGGAGAGAGTGAGAGAGTGAGAGAGAGAGATTGGGAGAAAAAATTTAATGCAAGAACTGCTATTTCAAAGCGTTAACATACGTACGTGACGCATGTAGAACGTTAACTAAAAAAAAAATATTTCTATTCACGAGTCTTGACAAAGAAACGTGTTTGTAAGCAAGAACAGTTCTCTCAATTTTACTGGGTAAATATTTTAAAGTACCCACATTTTTTTTTTGTGAAATACTATACTTGTAACATGTTGGCATAGTTTCCGCTTGCTTCAACTCGCTTGGTGCCAATTTCGAAATTATGCACTCCTGCGAAAACGGGACATGATTCCTTATTTGCACAAAAAGACGGGACGGCCAAAACGGACCTCAAAAACGGGACTGTCCCGGCCAAAACGGGACGTCTGGTCACCCTAGCTATCGTGGGCAAGACTGCCAGGGCAGCAAAACGCCAAGTATATCTCTGCACGCAAGACGCAACCAAAGAGCGGCAGAAATGACGCCTTGTTGCCTTCGGAGAAGAGTGCTGCAAAGCTGGAGGGTTGCCTTTGTGTCTATTATCGGAACCAGGGGCGGATGCAGGAACTTCCCGAGGGGGGGGGGTCAGGTGTCGGTCAGTGTACCATATGTTTAGGGACCCCCTCCCCCTCTCCTTCGTTTTACGCCCTAAAATTTACACAAGCAGAAATCAAGAGGGGGGTCAGGACATCCGGACCCCCCCTCTAAATCCGCCCCTGATTGGAACACGAGTGACAAATTGTTTCCATTTTTCCACTGGACTGAGGTCGTTTTTATTTTCATTTTTATGTACCCAAGACAGGTAGAAAATATTTCATTAACCCCTTAAGTGCCACATTTTTTTCCCTAAAAGTGCCATATATTTTTTTTTTTGAATTATTTATTCCTCTAGTATTACACATATAATTTGAAAAGTTTATTACGAAAAAATCAGCGGAGGTGAAAAAAATATTTGCCAAATAATAGGAGTGCTGCCATCTATGATCAGCGCCGCAAAACTACACGGACGAGCCTTGCTCGTCCGTGGAGTTGAGGGCTACCGAAGAAACCACTGGACGAGCCGAGCTCGTCTATGGCATTTTCAGCCCAAAAATGGCCAACGAGCGCAGCTCGTCCAAGGCACTTAAGGGGTTAATATGTTGATGTGCTAGTTGGTATAAATTAATTCAATGCTCAGTTTTCAGTCATATGAACAGATATATTTGATGCATGACACATTGTTGAAGTATGTTCAGAACTGTAACGGGCTATTGTACATAGGCCTATAAATGTATTCGCGACTCCAGCGACCTATAGGGGGCGCCACCACCAAACAAACATGGCGGCTGGGTCCAGGTAGCGTCGGCTCGGCCGGGCCGCCTGAAGGGGTGGTGCATTCAATTTAACAGATTTTCTTTTGTTTAATGCCCAATTTCATCGGTATTTGAACTGAGATGGTTAAGTGTAGCCGGTGCACATAAACTTGCAGAGCATAGTTTTGTTTTCCTAGTGTTTTTGTTCTTTTCATGTCAAACTTTCGTTTTGGAGGTTTCGTTCAAAACCGAAACTATGTGCTCTGGAGAGACGGTGATAGACTCTAATCAGTTTTGATCAGCTAAGGAAAGCGGCGATGAGTACAGAATTGTTCCATCGAGAGTAATTTTCAGCTAACTCGCATGCCTCGACCATGCGACTTATCTGTCCGCGAAATCAAGCTTTTCTGCGTATCCGCGTTTAAGAAACAGCTCCAGTCGTCTGCTCGGTCAACAACACAGGCTTCAGGAAAATTGCGAAAATTAAGCAATCGCTTCTTGAGCCAAGGAGCATGTTAACCCGCTGGCGCCCCACTAAGCAGCTGATACTCGTATTTCAATTCAGGTTTTAGTAGCAATCGAGAAGTGATTTTGACGAGTGGGTTGTGTATTATATTAAGTGCTATGTCCCACTAAAGCGATATTAGTATATCCTTTGGGTTGAAATATGAGCTTAGTTGACTAGATATAATGTGAAGTGTTGAGTAAAAGTATATTTGGCAGCCAAATGGTTCTAGCCGGTAGCACGGAGACGAATGCGGACAAACTGAAGAGAGTCTTCACCGGAGATTCACGCAGAGCCTTTCTGCATTGAACTTGACTTCGAATCCTGAACGAAGAAATTGAGTATTTTTGTAGCCAGACAACCTGAGCAAAGTGGACAAATATTGCTGCTGGCTTCGACGGGGCTATAATATAAATATTGGAGGTGCGATAGATCATAGTGCCGTGACGGCTTCTAACTTTGCGAGACCCGTCCCTCACTTTTCTAAAGCAGGTAATTTCCTTCATTAATCATATGCAGCGAGCAGGTTTTCTTGAATTAAATAATTGCGAAATCAGCCCAACTCGTTCAGTGTTCCAGAGGCTTTTTTGGCAAAAAGCAGCCAAGATGAATAGCCAACACAGCAACCGCAGTGATGTGATTGCTGCGCCAATTGCGCCAAACTGCGCCGAGGGGCTAACCCTGCTACATCCTGCTACATTTTGCCAAAATATGGGTAATCTGCGCCAAGCCTGCGCCAAAGGACCCATTTTGGTCGCCTTTTAAAACCGAAACTAAACTGAGTACCGTAATTGAGCACACATGAGCTAGGTGGTACAAGCAGCCATCCGGCACAAAGTACCCTGCATCAATCGTTCATCCGGTCTTGCGTGATTTTTCCCGCCGTCTCTCGTCTCGCGTCTTTAAAAAAAAAAAAAATTCAATGATAGACGTGGGCGTGTGCGGACGCTTCGACGCTAGCGTGCTGGATACCAGCCATGCCGTCATGCTGTGAAACGAAACCATGCTTTTGCGCGGCGGGGGTTACTTTATGGGCTGAAGCACTCGCTCCTGAAAGCAACGGCCGTGGCCAAACTATATTTGGTCCCTGCCTGCCAGTCACCATGGTCGTGCGACGTCATATGTTGCCGTCCCCATGTCACTGCAGTTATGGCACTTTCCAAACTGAAACGTAAGGACTGCCGCATGTTCATCAACAATCCTGTTCTTGTTTAATACGCCACTACAAGCATCCCTTTAGCTCAAAGACTGCTGTGTCGAAGTATTGATTGCCTAGGTTTCTCTCAGTAGGCTTTCTTTCGAGGCGTACCCCGGTACGTGAAAAATCAGCCGCGAAAGATATTGGTGAAGAAAAGTGAGATAAAGCAAAGAAGGCAATGTCCGCATGCTGAACCCGCACAGCGTGCTTATTTGTCTCGAGTTCAGTTGTTGCACAAAGTGCTCCAAGAACTTTTTGACCCTGACTCGCGAAGTCTTGCATCAATGCGCTCAGGTTCTTTCTTTTTTTTTTTTTTCTGTGTTTAGCTTGTACTGTACCTCGCCTGCCGGACTGGCAACCAAGTGCCGCTGGACTGTTTTTTTTTTTTTTTTCGTATGTTGAACAGTTATATTTTGCATACAATTTTGGGAATTAGTTGGAGACGGAGCGGAGTGGCACGGGTTTCGACCGAACAGCCATCTCCGCTCGCGCGACAATTTCGCAATGCACGGCAGTAGTTAGGTGTTTCATCAGTTAGAGACTGCTTCCATTTATTATATTACTAGTCAACCTAATGATGTGATAAAAGAGAGTTTTGGCAGATCGTGTTTTCGGGTCACGCTATTTGTAGCGGGAGCTCGCGCTACCCTTCGATGCATGCTCTGAAGCGCGCGCCTGTGGCTGTAGCGGGCCTTTGAAAACGATCTACTAAAACTCTCTATTTACTACTAGGCTGGTCATTTTCAAATAAATTTTAATATGTGCAGTTTCGTCCGATATATTCGTATCATTTAACTGAAGCATTGCAAAATGTGTTATCTCATTTGCATTTCAGTTACATGTTGAAAGACTCCCAGGTGGTCTATCTTGACAATAATTGGTTGATTGCGGCGAGCAATGTGTCCTTCGTTTGTCCACCACCTAAAATTAATATCTTTTTTTTTCTTTTAAAAATACATGTTCCATGAGCCACTTTCGCTGCTCCGAAGCACTGTTTTAGCTGCTCCAAAAGCCAGTTTTGCTGCTCCAAAACTGTGGTTTGGCTGCTCCAGAAGGTGCTCCAAAACGACTTAGGCCAATCACATCACTGCAACCGGCGTGGGTGGCTCAAACTTGAAGCTGATCGAACAAACCAAACTCAAGAAAAGCAGCTATCGAACCTTCCCATTCACTTGACTGCAACATTGGTGTTCCTTCCAGTGAAACACCTTGTCTGTCGTCCTCATTTCACTGTTCTACATCCGTATAAAGAAACCACTTATCAGTTACCAACTAGTCGTCACTTTGAATGTGATTCGAGACAGACAAGAAATGAAAACTCTTTTCCGCGATTCCTCCCCATCCAGGAAATCGAAAGCAC